AACCCCCATACCTGTCTCTGTTTTCCATTTCTGTAATTCTGTGGAATTTTCACCAGTAATACGACGAACAAGCTTGAGATTGAGCTTGTTGTGTGCAATCTTCTGTGTTGTTTGACTCTAGCGGACTAGATTGAACCTTCGATCTTATCACAGTGTGATACGAATGGTTACTCTTGTAACTCCTATTTTCTATCTTTAGCCAAAGACCAGAATATATCCCCTTTGGAACCCTATAAATTCATTTGGAAATCGTGTGCTCCTGTTAGAATTAAAGTTTTTACTTGGTTATTTTTTCATAGAAGATTGAACACGTGAATTAGTGCAGAGGAAACATCCTTTGTTTGCTTTGTCTCCAGGATGGTGTGTAATGTGCAGGTTGAATTCAGAATCTATAGGTCACTTGTTTTTGCATTGTGACTTAGGTTGGAGATTCTGGCTAAAGCTATTGGGGGCGGCAGATTTAAGTTGGGTTTTCCCAGCTCATAGCGGCACGGTTCTGGTAGAAGACTGGTTCGGATTCGGAAAGAACAAGATGCAATGTGTTTGGCTATCCTCTGGGTATATGGTGGGAGAGGAATTAAAGGATTTTTGAAGACAAAGAAATGCCATTCGAGGATTTATTTGAGAAAGCAAAATACCTAGCGTCTATTTGGGCTTCAACAGATGCATCATTTAAGCATTATTCATTATCTTTAATCTTGTTAAGTTGGGAGGATGTGTTGAGATAATCTGTACAGTTTGCTTGTTTTTGCTCTTTGTCATGTTTGCTTTTTATTATTTGTTTTTCAGTTGAAGATGGTTCTAACCATCTAGAACTTCATTTGTATTGGCTTCTTTCTTTATAAATGAAGTTTTTGTTCTTATATATATATATTTATTTATTTATTTATATATATAAAATCTTTAATGCATCCCTGGGGGTAAGTGATGGAAGCAGTGCTGTGAAAAAGAAAAGGAGTAATACATCTCGTCGTCCTCGGAATGACTCGCAGCCTCCTTTGGATTACCGTGATGTGTCATCCTTATCAGATGGAAGCAAAGGATCTAGTGAAAAAGATATTGCTTATGGTTCAGTTACTCCAAAGAAAGAATTGAATGTGAACCTATGTAGCTCAAGGGTCTCATTTAGTAATAATGCAGAATCTGAATCGGGCAAGAATGAGATGAAAAATGAAGATGGAGGATTTGTAGATTCTGATGAAGCTTCTAACAATGGCTCTTTTCGAGGCAGTAATGAACAGAAGTACAGTGGTATCGATTCTAAAAGAAGCAGCAAAGGTGTCCTTGCACCTGCAAATTGGACAAGCACGACCAACATCGGTCATTCTCATGATTTGGATAGTGAGAATAAAGTGAAAAAAGTGAAGCTTAAAGTTGGTGGTGTTACACGAACCATTCGTGCCAAATCTATATCTGATGGTGCATCTGCTATCGGGTCGTCAACTACAAAATCTTCTCGTGTTTCAGATGCCCCTCGTCCTCAACGGAAGTTAGTGCAGGTATCATTGACCGTTTCCTTAAAATCAACTCATTTGTTTTGGCACACATTTTCACAGTGAGGTCTATTTACAGTTTTGTTGTATCTGAAGCGGAAGCTGGCATTGGCCATAAGGAGATAAAAATCCCATGAACGCTTTTAAAGCTGCACCTAAGTTTGTTTTAGTTACTAGTGTTCTTTGTTCTGTTAAGCTGTGTCCTGGAAATAATTGTTTTTTGTTCCTGTCTGGATCACCAAAATGTATTTTTCTTGCTATCTTTGTTGGCTGTTTTTGGTTCTGTTTGCCTAACTGGCAAGCACTGTTGAGTAAGTTATTTATGTGAACTTGTATGTTCCGTGAGATGTTTCAATGAGACTCTGAAGTAATTATACATTCGGTGCAGGATCCGGACAAAAATCGCTCCTTTACTTCAGACAAGAGGATCAATTTGCAAGGTAATGCATGGAAAGATTCTAAAAAGGGCTTTAATGAAGGGAAGGCGAGTTCTTTGGGGCCTGATGAAAATCTTTTTTCGGAGGAAATGAAGTATGAACCTATTCGTAAGAGCAAAAGAATCTCAAGGAAACGATTGATTGACGAAGCCCTGGATAATGAAGATAATGACAATGTGGAGATTTGGTATCTTGAAAAACTCAAAACTTCTAGGTTTGCCAGTGATTACAGTGCAGAATACCAAAAGGACAAGGAAAGAGAAAACAAGAAACAAAGAAAGATTTCAAAGGTATTAAAGTGGAACTCTGAGCACGAAAATGATCTGGAATATGGCTCTTCAAGATCAGGGAAGCAAATTAAGAAGTCCAGATCAGAAAGAGTATTAGATGATACTGATTATGTGGAAGAAGACTCGATTTCTGATGATGAGCCTAGTAGCAAGAAGAAAAAATCAATGAAGGAGTTCGTTGATTCAATGGTTGATCATAAAAAGGAAATGACGGTAACTACTCGTCAACGAGCTCTGCAAATTGGCAAGGATGTCTCATCCAGCCTAGGTGCAAATATTATCGAGTATCCCAATGGGTTGCCACCTGCTCCACCAAGAAGTGGGTGATGTTTTCTTTCATGCTTTTCGGTTATTTTACTTTCAGAAGCACCTTAAGTAAATGTTGAACCTCCATAATGTTGATTCCATTGGTTTTCTTTGCAGAGCAAAAAGAGAAACTCTCTGAAGTGGAGCAGCAACTGAAGAAAGCTGAGGCTGCTCAGAGACGCAGGATGCAAGTAGAGAAGGCTGCAAGGGAATCTGAGGTTTCACTTCCTTCTATTCACTATTTTCTTCTTTTTTTTAATCTTCCCGACGAATTTTTCCTAATTTACATATCTATTTGTTTTCTTTTCTTGGACCTTAGGCTGAAGCAATCAGAAAGATCCTTGGCCAAGATTCAAGTAGGAAGAAACGGGAAGACAAGATTAAGAAGCGCAAAGAAGATCTTGCACATGTAATGGCGACATAAAAGGAATGCTTCCGCTGGCTTCCTTTCCTATGTCATGTGAGAGAACATTCTTATTAATTGCAGCTTATTTTTGATATCTTTGCAGGAGAGGGCCACAAATGCCGTGCTTATTGCATCAGATTCTGTTAGATGGGTGATTGGTCCTTCGGGAACCATAGTAACATTTCCGAATGAAATGGGCTTGCCAACTATATTTGATTCGAAGCCTTGCAGGTATCACTTGCAAATATGTATGCAAACCATCTTATGGGATGTTTGCTTTAAGGGTTCGTCTCTGGTTCTGAATCATGATTTTTGGTTCTCTACAGTATTTTTTTCTCATAAAAAATTTAAATTTAAAAAATCAGAATCATGAATTATGGTTATGAATTCATGAACCAAACGTCCCATTAGTGATTTCTGATTTATGTTTGTTTTCTTGCTTCCTAGGAATCTCTCAAGAATCTCTCAGATTTTTTTAGCTTCAATAGGGTCAAATTTAACTTCTGATTTTGATAAGTGTTGGAAATCTTTTTGTCAATATTTGCATCAACTTTGCCTGTACTCTTAGTTATAGATAAATTTTTCTTCCATGTTTTTATTGGAAATTCTATTATTATTTTTTAAATCTAATTTTATTGTTGTTGAATTCAGTTACCCGGCTCCTCGAGAGAAATGCGCCGGTCCATATTGTACAAACCCTTACAAGTACCGTGATTCGGAGTCAAAGCTTCCCCTTTGCAGTCTCCAGTGCTACAAGGCAATCCATGAAAAGACCAGAGCTCTAACTGCCTCCTATTAAATTTGTCCACTTGCCTATTTTAGCTTTGTTTGGTGTTCTTAATCCTTATCATTAGTGAAAATAATAAGGGATTTGTGAATAGAATTGTGTAGTAAATCTGCTTCCCAATTAAACTATAAAGAATGTAAATCGGAATTTGATGTATAGATACCCAATTCCCTGAGGTCAGGCCCTTTGAGGTAATAAACATGGTGTGATTCTTCTTTTCGTCGGTTGAGGCAATAAATATGGTGTGCTTCTTCTTTTCGTTCTTCTAGATAAAAACAAAGGTATGGTTATTATTAGTGTTGTACGGGAAAATATGCTTTGACACGTTAGAGTACGATAGCGCTCCACGTGGCCCTACAAATAACCGTATCAGTAGACTGTCGACCCGTCATACCGCTGACCCCATGAAACCTCGGTGTTTATCTGGCCCATATTGGGGGTCTCTCTTAGTTCGACCGTGCAAGGGCCAGCTGGAAGCCGACCGTATAAATGGGGGGCCCCTTGGGGTAACGTCTGGGTTTGGGGGATGTCTGTAATACATGCATTAATTACAACGATGGAAGGTTGCAGGGAGTGCAAAGCCGTAATATATGACTAATTAAGGTGAATGAACAATCCAAAAGGTGATTAGTTGGCTATGTGTCTAGGCCCATAAGACAGTAGGCACTCTGAGTGTTGGGTCCACAGAGGAAAACCACCTCCGGAAGTAAACTTGAGCTATAAAAGAGGGGCAAAGCCCCAAGCTCAAGAGAGGTTTTTTCTTTTTACACATGTAATCGGAGAACAAAAAAATATATACAAAAGAGACAGTGGATGTAGCTCTTCATTAATAGAGTGAACTACTATAAACTCCGTGTGTCCATTTATTTAGGCATTACATTCATATTTCCTTCACCACAAAGCTTACTCAAGCACTTTGCAAGCGTAATTTCGAATATACATCCGCATTAGGCCGGTAACCCTACAGGATACTAAGGGGTAACCCGGAGCAATCCTATTGACAAAATTTGACTGTCAACAATTGGCGACAACGTTGGGGACCGAACCCAGAATCTCTGGTTCATACATTTTTACCCTCGACAAATAAGGTAGTCGGCGACCATGCCTCCAAGAAGGAGAGATACCACTGCCAACCAAGGCAGCCAGATGGAAGAAAACACCATACATCTGGCTCATGACGGGAGCGGGGAAAACCAACCCCCGGTAGGAATTGGAGCTCCACCCCCAGATGTGCCGCAACGTGACCCAAGGCAGATGCAGGCCCAGCTCAACGCTCTGACATACTTGGTGCGGGGGCTAACGACCATCGTCGAAAGAGTGGACAGGAGAAACTCTATGCCACCACTGGAAGATGGCCAGAGACCCTTAGGAGCAGCCATGGCAGGAAACCAAAATCCTGGTAACCGCCAAGGCGCTTCAAAAGGAATCAGGGACAGTGAAAATATGGGAGGCAACCAGAGATTTCGACCATCTCAATCTCTCGGCAACCGTCGGAGGGCCGCCAGACGCCGAGCTCAAGAGAACAGAGTGGCAAAAGACTTGCAGAACCCCGAAGTGCCGCCTCGGAACCAAGGTGGAAATATCCCTGGAGATTCGGAGTCAGTACGAGAAGGTGGAAACCCAGCGGGCAGGCAGGATGCACGGGGGGTAGGAGCCTCCAAAGGGGCCGTCTCCGCAATCTCGACGAAGGAAGCGCGAGCCATCATAGAACGAATGACGAGCTTAGAAGAAAAATTTACGGGTGATGTTGCTGGCCTAAAGAAGAACATAGGACAGGTGGCAGAAGTGGTAAACGTCGACATCACTCTCAGTCGGATGCACGACCACCCATTCATCGCGGAAATCATGGTGCCGCCTCTTCCAGACAAATATCGGTCGCCACCGATCCCACCATATGATAGCAGAGGGGATCCAGACGATCACCTGAAAATGTATATATGGCACATGCTTCTACATGGGTATGCAGAAGAAATCATGTGCCGGGCCTTCCGAAACCATCTGACAGATTCTGCCCGAAGATGGTTCAGAACGCTTAACCAAGCTCCATTTCTAGCTGGAATGAACTAAAAGAAGCCTTCTCCCTCCAGTTTATCGGAGTGAAGAAGTATGTCCCTCCAAAGCAGAACTTAACGACGATTTAACAAAAACCGAACGAGTCATTAAAAGAATGGCTTGCAAGGTACGGAGAAGCTGTCGCTACCACAACAAATATGACTGACCGGGAGGCCCTGATGGGGGCGATGTCCAACATGAAGAAAATCACTCCCTTCAAAAGGGACCTAAACCGGAAGCCACCGTCGACTTACAAAGAATTCCTAGCACGGGCGCAATGATACATCAACGCCGAGGAAGCTGACGTGAATGACCCTGAACACAGATCCAACAAAAATAAAGGAACTGACCAAGGGTCGACTGCAGGAAAGCAAGACGGTAAAAAGCGACGAGGCAATGGAGACAAGCAACCTGCCTCAACATCGAACCCTCTAGATGCCAAGAAGCCGAGGCAAGATGAAAGCCGTAAACCTCGACCTTTCTAGAGGTATGACACTTACCATGAACTTACTATAGGGGTCGAAGAGGTGTTCAACCAAGTTGGATGAGGGAATCTGTTACGCCGACCCGAACCTATGAGGTCGGACCCAAGCCGAAGGAATCAGAACAAATATTGCAGGTTCCACAGCGACGTCGGCCATAACACCAATAACTACGCGGGTGATCCGCGAAGGAAGGCTGCAGAAGTTCAAGGCAGAGCGGAGGCCAAGGAATGACGGCCACGACGGCCAGAAAGACGGTCGACGCCGAGAAGAGAATCGGCGACCAGAGGACCGAGAACCCGTCGGCGTCATAAGAACCATCCTCGGCGGTCCGTATATCGGAGGAGACTCGAGGAGGTCCCAAAAGGATTATGCCCATGAGGCCAGAGGGGTATACCCGGAGAGGTTTTGGAATCTCTCAACAACATAAATAGCAAGGTACAACAGTGCTGATGTGGCATTCAATGAAGAGGACGCAAATGGGGTCCATTTCCCCCATAATGATGCCTTGGTAGTAGAAGCGATAATCGGGAACCACACCGTATGCAGAATCCTGGTGGATAATGGGAGCTCGGTGGACCTCTTATACGTTGATTGCTTAGAAAAAATGGTGGTCCCCAAGGAGCAATTAGAAAAGACATCCCGACCGTTATACGGGTTCACTGGGGATTCTGTCATCCCCCAGGGGACTATCCAACTACCAATAACCGCAGAGGAGAAGCTTAAGCACGCCATGACAATGGCCAACTTCGTGGTAATAAAGGGAGGCTCACAATATAATGCCGTAATTGGAAGGCCGAAAGGCCAATAACCTCTATTTACCACCAGAAAGTTAAATTCCAAACTCCGAATGGCGTGGGCGAAATGAAAAGCAATCAATACGAAGCTCGAGTCGCCTACTCTGACACCCTACGTGGACACGATCAACCAGGGAGGCAAGAAGCCAGAGTGGTCCATCAAGGTGCCTAATGACGGGTATTTTTACCAACAAATCAAGTACTTTTAAGCTTGAATATTTGTAAGTTTTCAAGCATTTTTGTTAGTTTAATGTCTTTTGTTTGCTTTTATAGGAATTATAAATAAATGCGAACTTGGATGATTTTGCATGAAGAAAAGAAGAATATTTGCCCAACTTGTGAATCAATGCCAAGAGGAGGCTTGGAATGCAAGGAAGCGGGCTGCAGTGCACCCTTTTAGGCTACAACGCGCAAAGGAATACAAAGAAGTCCAGAGAGCAAGGGAAGCGCAGGCTGCAGTGCACCAAAGTGGGCTGCAGCGCACTAAAACGTGCCCAGCTCCAAAAATGCGTGCTGCAGCGCACCAGAGGGGCTACAGCGCGCCCAAAACGTGCCCAGAGGCTGGACACGCGCTGCAGCGTGCCCAAGGGGCGCTGCAACGCGCCAAAAGGGCCCAAGAATGTGTCCTACGCGCTGCAACTCGCCCAAAGGCGCTGCAGCGCGTTTCAGCCCCCTGCGAGCAAAATTCCTCTTCCAAAAATGCACGCCACAGCGCGTTTTCACGCGGGCTGCAGCACGCGACTGAATTCCTAGCTCCAAAATGTTGTAGTATAAAAGGAAAGAGATGCCATTTGGAAGGGGAGCCCGGAAAAGTGAAGAAAACATCAAAGGAGGCCGAAATCCTTCATCTTGGAGGTCCTTGGAAGCTCTTCAATGGATATTGGGTTTTATCTTCTTTCATCTATTTTTCCATGTTGAGCTAGACATTAAATCTAGGACTTGATGTAGTTTTATTTGAACTATGTTTTGAATATTTTGTTGATTGTTAATTTAATTTCATTTTCAATTCATTTATGTTTCTCTATGCTTAATGCTTTTACTTTATTTGGCCAATGAGTTAGATGATTTTTAGATTGCGAATTTGATGCTCGGGAGAGATTGAGTTCTTTATCTATATTTGAGAAGCATAGTCTAGGTTGTTGTGAGACCGGGAGGAGATCAACACTTAGATAATCAAATTAGGATTTAGGTCGTTGTGAGGCTGGGAGGCGATCAATATTCCTATTTTCTAATTCTAAAGGTGAAGCTTAATTTGTGTTTAAATGTTCATTTCGAATAGGGATATTGTTTTGGGTATTTAAATACAATTTCTTGTGAGGCACTCGGGAGAGGTTGCGAGATGATATTAAAGCCTTGATTAATGAATTGAATGGAATTGATTAGCGATTACATAATAGGATGAACATAGGAATAATAAAGCGAAATCAAGTCCCTAGACCATTTGTGTATAGATACTTTATTTTCTTATTTTCATATTTATTTTGTTTTATTTTCTTAATTGTCATTTTATTAGGTTGCCTAGATAAAGTTAAGTTACAATAATTGCGGTACTTAATGGCAATTCTAAACCCAATCCCCGTGGAGACGATACTCACTCACCTTATACTCAAAACTTGACACCGTACGCTTGCGGAAATTTATTATACAAAATTAATTCGCATCGGTGCCATGGAGATCATAGACCCCCGAGTTCAAGAAGAGATCACCTGGTCTCAACCAATCGAGCAGCTAATAGAAGTCCGGGTGGATAAAGATGAGCCAACAAAAGTGCTGAAAGTAGGTTCAGACTTAACTCCGGCGTTTAAGATTGAAGTCGAGGGTTTCCTCAGAAGGAACCTGCACATATTCGCCTGGACTCACGCCGACATGAAAGGGATCGACGCC